TTTAAGCAATTTGATCCACGAGAGAAAGTGATTTCATGATCTTTATATCTAATAACTGTATAAGATCAGGAAGGGCTTTTGATGCCGCCGGAAAAGATTTTTTTTCCAAATACATTATCTTTGTTTAGGAAAAACATGTAAAACCAGAATATATGTCTTATACAAACACAATTTGATTTGTTATTGAAAGATATTTTTTTTTTTATTATTATTTCATACAGAAAAAGACTATTCAAACCAATACTTTTTCGTCAATTTACTTTTATATTTCAGTGCTCAAAAACTTCATTCTAAAACTGTTTAACGTATATTTCTTTACTTAATGTCGGAAAAATACAGCACATTCTCACTGTTCACCGGAGTATTAAGGAAAGCGTTGAAAAGTTCATGATTCATGATGTTCTCACTGCTTCCCCGCATAGTGTGATGCTGCACACGGGTGCGCAGCATCACACTCCTTTGCATGCACGGGCATTCTCATTTTGTCTCTATAATTTTCTTTTATACTCGCATAAACACAAGCACAAGATGTTCACATACATTCCGATATTCTATAAGGATTTAATGTAAGAAAATACATAAATTGTATACATGTTTATATATATATATATATATATATATATATATATATATATATATATATATATATATATATATATATATCCATGTCCGTATTACATATAACATGTATATATATATATATATATATATATATATATTATATATATATATATATATATATATATTTTCGAGGGTACCCACTTTCGAGGTAGTGACATTTTATATTTTTTTTTATGTATCTTCTGAAACTCGTTGGTTTGTGCATGTAATATATAATATGATGAGAATGAGTATAGATCAACTAGTCTTATTCTGTAGAATACAAACCAAACCAAATTTATCGTACTTGAGAAAGTATAAGATACCAACTTGAAATTACGATATCACAGGCCAAAACATACTTGATTACTAGGGCAAAATATACACAGAGATGGCATAGCTCAGTGGTAGAGCGGTGGCTTTGCAATTGCATGGTTCTACACACACACACATATTTATACATACATACATACATACATATATAAACAAACACTATAATTGGTACAAAAAGATGAAAATAACTGACGAGCGTAATGTTATAAACATAATGGATATACAAAGAAAACTTTGACATGGTTATATAACCAGAAAAAGGCACGGGCAAATTATGAATTAGTGGAAGACTAGAGAAAGCTTTACTTATGACCGTGTAAACTCAGGCAAGCCCCAGTGACCAACACTTAATTGGCAATAAGTCGGTTTTTAATCAGGAGGGACCTTTATTTTTTCTTGTAGGCGAATTTATATAGGAAAAATAGATAGCTCTCAAGTTTCCATCGTTTTTCAGGTGAAAAGCAAGTTTGATATGCATTTATATATGTATATGTGTGTGTGTGGATTTGTGTATGTATTACGCGAGTGCCCACTTGAGTATATAACATACTGAAAAAAATGTGCATAGAAAAAAAGTAATAATAAAACAAGCTACAGGTTGAAATACATTTACCTTTAATCAAAAGTGAGTGTACATCATCGAAACAGGTAAAAGAGCCGCCTATTTGCACAAAGTGGAAGAGAACAAGGTTCCTTCAACAATAATTTTAGCCAAAGAAGAGCCATCCGAAGGTGATGGTGGAGCCAGTGGGGAGCGTGAGCGTGGTGGTGAAGCACCTGGGAATGAAACACAGCAGGATGCAGCGGGTGAAGGTGACGCTCACTTGACGACGGTCTTGAACACTGTCATTCTGTTCTTCAGTGACCAGTTTGTAAACGGGAAGGTCGCCACAGAAGTTGGCAAGATCCGAGCCGATCTCCTCCTCAGGATTGTCGAGGGAAACAGCGGAAACTCTGACGTCAGACTCAACCCTCATGCCATCATCCTGATGGCCTTTGATGAAGGCTACTTGTTGCTCGAAAGATTTAACCAGTCGCCTCACGTAACACGCTTCCTGGGACACAACTCGAGATGCTGCTAGACCCTGCGAAGTGCATAAATTTGATATATTTATGGTCATTTCCCCGAATTCATACAACTGAACAAATTGAAGAATTTCTCATGCATTATCAGTTCAAAAAACAATAACGTAAAGTTCATCATAGTATCCAGTGATGACCTAACAAGTATTACTTACCACTATAATCCTCCAGAGTTTCCACGTCATCGAAGTCGTCGGATTCAGGCATGTGGAAGTGAATTTTCATGGCAAGGCGGTCTACATCCACTTTCATGCAGCTGTTTTCAGCGGCGCTGTTTCCCTTGTAACATATTTGGTAATCCTACCAAGAAAAACGGTCATCTTTTGTAATATTAAGTATGCTTCACATGAGAGATAAACTGAACTGTTGTATATGTGACAGAAAAGGTAATAATTTCTTGCTTAAACATGCATATCAACAGCGTGTTCATACCTGAACCTCAGCCAGGGAGAAGCCTAAGAGGCAGGAGAGCATCAGCCAAGTGAACATGGTGTGATCTAGAAGGAAATATAATTAAGTGGTATAAAAGTGACAGATCTTGAAATACATCCATTTCATAAACCCTGAACCTATACAGTAATCATAGTGAGAAACATCCCGCTTAGGAATTTCCAGGATGAAATGAAGAGATAAAATAACGAAGGGGATCATTATAGGTACGGGATAAAAAAAAAAAAAAAAAAATCATAAGAGTACGCATGTATATTACATAAAAATTGTGTTGCAAGAATTATACTTTAGCCATTGGACGGATTATGAGACAGGTAAGAGGTATGAGAATCGTTACTCACCAAGGATAGCTACCACTGGTGATGTGAAATCGTCCGCGAAGTTTATATATCCCTCAGAATGTCGTACGACCTTTGGAAAGGAAGAACTCCTGTTCCTACTAAAGCTCCACCTGTGAAAACATTTTTACGATATGTTTTCCATTCAAAATTTGTCAGTCGGCAAAAAATCTTCAATCTCAGCTGATGGTATATATTTAGGACTAAAACAGATTGCTCCTCAAATGAAATATCGTTTTAAAACACGCATTTTTTCTGCGTATATTTCGAATCTCTTATTTTTTTCTGATTTGATCATATGTAAATTTAGAAGAGTGCAAATAGAGGACGTGTCAGCATTCATCTCCAAATGAAGTATCATATACATATACACACACACACACACACACACACACACACACACACACACACACACATATATATATATATATATATATATATATATATATATATATATATATGGTATGTATTATATATCTGTATATATACAGTATATGTATATATATATATATATATATATATATATATATATATATATATATATATATATATGTATATGAATTTATGTATACAGATATGAATCTATATATATGTTTACATATATATATGAATGTATATTTATATATATTCACAAATATATGTACATACACAGTATGTATATGTATATTTATATATCCATGTATATATATATATATATATATATATATATATATATATATATATATATATATATGAATATATATATTATGAATATACACATACATACATACATACATACATACATATACACAAAAAGAAACACAAACATACACATACATACATTATATATATAATATATATATATATATATATATATATATATATATATAATATTACATATGCATGTATGTGCGTATCCTCATTGCATACACACACACACACACACACACCACACACACACACACACACACACACACACACACATATATATATATATATATATATATATATATATATATATATACATATATATATATACACATACAAATATTAAATGAACATATATATGTACATATATATGGTGTATATGTATATCTATACATATATACATTCAGAATAAATATATATATATTTTGGTTATATACCCTATATATGCGTGTGACTCTCTCTCTCTTTCTGTATATGTGTATATGCATATTTATATATGTATACAGACACATATTTACGTATATATACAGATATATATTATATATGCATGTATGTCCGTATCCTTATGCATACATATACATATGTAGACAGGCATACCTAGAAACACACACGTGTGTGTATGTGTTTGTGTGCGTGTGTATTCATCCTATCTTGACGTAATGATTCAGAAGAGTTGTGAGATGGTTCTAGTTTACATTGAAATGTTCGTTTTCCATCAAATTATGCATGCTATAAACAGTGATGCATTTTTTATGGAATATAAATGAAGCGGTCTAATGTGTTACTGTAAACAATATATTCAGTAGATGAAGTTAGTCTGCAGTACGATAATAAAGAAATACTGACCGTTTTCTATCTGAAAGGAGCACTGTTTTTGTCATGACATGAGTGACTGTGTGTTTGCGCACGAGATAAAGGGAAGGAGAGAAAGAGAGAGGAGGTAAGAAAAAGAAAGAGGGAGGGAGATCGTGAAACAAGAAAACAATATTTTTAGTTTCTTGGCACGTGTGTTAATTAATAATGAAGAGGTTTTATGAAATCACAAAAGGTTATGAGCAGTAATGTCATCATTTCATACGATTATTATTATTTTTTTTTATTATTATTATTATTTTTAGATTATTGATTTTATTGTTTTGGGAATGCTATCTTAATCTAATATCAAATCGCCATGATAATGTGGACTTCGTTATCTGCCATACTTATTTTCTCTGTTTCTATGTAACTCTAAAATATAGAAAGCGTTTGCTAGAAAAATTCACAATCTCGCCTACATAGAAAAAAAAAAAAATCCCAGTAATGCATTATTCCGAACATCTAACTTTCCGAATAATCTCTACTTTCCCATATATGTATATATATTATATATACATATACACATACACATTTATATATACACATACATACAGTATATATATATATATATATATATATATATATATATAGTGTGTGTGTGTGTGTGTGTGTGTGTGTGTGTGTGTGTGTGTGTGTGTGTGTGTGTGTGTGTGTGTGTGTGTGTGTGTGTGCACTATATATATGAATATATATATATATTATATATATATATATATATATATATATATATATATATATATATATATATCACATATATGCACACCGATATAAGTATGTGTATGAACACATATAATCCTTTTATTTTCATTTTTATGGACATACATATAAATACAGCCATGAATAAACAGACTGAAATAAATGTGTGTATATATATATATATATATATATATATATATATATATATATATATATATATATATATATACACATGTATATATATACATACATACATATATATTTATTTCTCTGCTCTGCTTTGGGAAAAAAAATCTGCTTTAACGTGCATTCGTATTACATCATTCGCGATGTATTCATAGCTGTAGATATTGAAAAAGCCTTTCATATTTAATTTTCACACTAGATTTTCTTTCCGAAAGAATTTGCCTTCCTAATGTCATTTCAGAAACTGCAGTCTCAGCAAATATCAGATATATATTGGATGGTAAGAGAGCTCAAGGGACAGTCGACGGTACCATCAGGTGAGTCCTGGTGCACTGCGAGTGTGCGCACTCGTTTTTATACTTTGCGTTCATGAAAAAATGAATGAATAAATAAACGTATACATCTTTTGTATATGTACATATACATCTCTAGTATCATGACAATTTAATTGTACTTTTTCTTTTCTTTTTGTCCAGACGTAAAAATGTTGAGGATCGTAAGCCTGGCAGTGACTTTGGCCGTGTGCGTGGCACGACCCAACCAATGGGACGACCAGCTTGGGCTCTTCCCTGCCGACGGCGGAGACTCTCAGCCCATCTTGCCTCGCGCCGTCGCCAACCCTACCACGCCCAACCAGATACTCGACGCAGTGCTCGAAGGAGCTATCGCATACATGGAGTAATATTTTATTTAGTGATCTTTTGGTTTATTTTGTTTCAATGTTATCATTCCTTATTATCATATTATACTGATTTCATGAGTCTTCTTCCTAACTGCTGTCCTTTAACAGAGCACTAGGATGGTGTGGATCCAAAAACGTGCAGAATGGAGAGTCAAATCTGCCCTTCCAAGTCAACTCTGACGGAAGCAGCTCCGAGAACTTCAGCATCACTAAGGCCAACGTGACTGGACTCTGCTCCCTGCGCCGCTCCAAGTCCGCTTCCTTCAACGCCGACCAGGTATGAATGTCAAATGAAAAGAAAGATGTATGATATGAGTTAAAGGCATTAACTAAACTCATTAACTTCAGAGTTTTGAAAGGAAATCCATGATAAGAATGATATTCTATTTTTTAAAGTTAAGTATATGTATGATTATTAGTGACTATTTATGTATTTTTACAGAGTGTGCTCTCCGGTTCGGTTGTCGTGGAAAACGCTCGTGCCAACGCCGACTACACGGTAACCTTTGCCGGTGTTGGAGAAGCTCCAGCCCAGACTGTTTCTGGTCAGGTTGTAGAGCGTGTGGACAAGCTGTTCGCAGATATCCAGATCAACTTGGACAACCTTGTGCCTCAGAACATCGCCAGCTACACCGCAAGATCGGGTCACGACCTGCTTGAAAGTGCAAGCAACTTGGACGGCAACAATATGAAGGACGTTCACAGCGCGGCTTCAGGAAGGCTTTGCGAGAGATCCTGGAGAAAACCATGGCTTCCAACGTGAAGGTGCAGATTAACAAGTCCATCCAGGATATGAAGAATGCTTAAAACTCAAGAATGATGCTGAAGAAACTTGTGAGTGTATGGAGAGACAAATAAAGTATTGCAATCATGAAATTTGTCTACCACATTTATGAATCTAGATACGAAAAATGCGTGGTTTTACAATTGAGGCTTTATAGACCAGTAAATATGTGAGAGGTAAACGTGCAATCATTAACCTCGCTTAGTTCTCCTTTTCCCCCAAAGGGAAAATTTTATGATTTGGCATCTTTAATCTACTATTATATATATATATATATATATATATATATATATATATATATATATATATATATGTGAGTATATTCATACATAAATAAGTACATATAAACAATCTCTCACATAGACACGTGTATATACACGCATATATATACATACATATATGTATGTATGTATATGTATATATATGTACATGTACAGATGACTAGAAGGAGTGGATACAAAGAGGACACATTTGGTATGGACTAAGTATGTCTGAGTCTGAAACATCAACACACAATAACAATTATGTTTTTGGTTTGTTACACACTTTAGTGATTTAAATCCCATCGGAATATTATTCTACTCAGAAGAAAAATCGTTATGTAAACTTAAACATCTTGCTTCAGTATAATCAGTTATAGCAGTACATTTCTCACACAAGCCAGCACATCATACCACTGTCCGCACTTAGGCGACATACCGACATACCTTTGGGTCCCATAAAACCAAGAGGGAGGGGCGACGGTCAGCCTGAACATTATCGTAAGAACGTGTAGCTAGGCTTTATGCTGCGTCCGGAACTCCTCGTCTTGCTCATCCAGGCAACTTGTCCAAGAGCAGCAGGACAACGATGCCGCGTTTGGAACCTCCAAGACACTCGCTGCCCAGAATGCAACCAGCTCGAATGTAAACATTCACTCATTTATCATACCGGTATCTTTATTTTACACGCTGCATAGGTTTTGTAACTTCTTTGAAGGCCATAAAATTATCAATCAATACCTTGTGGTTGCCTGCAACTTCCAATGTTTACATAGAAAAGCTATTGCCATCTCCAGCTCGCCCACCTTCACAGGAGGGCGAGATGGACGAGATGGACAACTTGTCCAGGACGGGAAAGTAGAGGTTCCGAACGGTGAAGACATCTTGTCC